CTCTCTCTCTCTCTCTCTCTCTCTCTCTCTCTCTCTCTCTCTCTCTCTCTCTCTCTCTCTCTCTCTCTCTCTCTCTCTCTCTCTCTCTCTCTCTCTCTCTCTCTCTCTCTCTCTCGAAATACTCGAAAAACTGGTATACTGGACGAGAGAAAATATAAAATGCGAGTAACAGAGAGTGGGTTTAATCTAATAGATCTGGTTGCAGAATTTCAAAACTGACTGCTCTTTCAAATGCAACTTTATTTGTAATTCATGCCGCACTTTTACTCGTTTTACGTTTCGTTACCCTCGCTTTCGAAATTTCTAAGTAAGAAGTAAGAATCACGATTACAATTGAATTATTTAACGATTGGAATAAATCGTAATAAACACAGCACAGGTCTCGAGAACTTCGATCGCATAGAAAAAAGAAAAAAAGCACAATTTCCAAAAAATAAGAAATCGAAACGCACACTTTGCACAACGTAAATCCACCCACGCGAGAATTATCGCGAGGAAACGCGATAATTTGGTTAATCCATCCAATCGTTCGAGGCAAGAAAATTTCATCGAGAAAAGTGAAAAAAAAATTCATGCGCAAATGTCAGTGGACGGCGGGTAAACGCTCGCTTGAAATTTCGTCGGCCACACCCGTTCCCTCGTTGCACCTGCAAACGAGATATCTCGTTTTCTCTACTCGATGCGATTGGAAACACGCGCTCGCCACCACTTATCGTACCTCCGCGCGATACGTACGGTTTTCTTGTTGTTTTTCGACCGACCGAGCCGCTCCTCTTACGTGAGCCCGTCGAGAACTTTTACGAAAGTCTCGGCTCGAGAAAGTAAAGCGTATCGAGTATTCGCCTTCGGGCTATCTATCTGCTCCATTTTCCGACCCCTCGCGCGCGCGCGCGCCTCCATGTCATATCGCCTCTGTATCCGCCTCTTACATGCAAATAACCTCCTTTTTCCGCGCCGAGAAACCCATTTTTTCCCCTCCTTCGTGATGCAGAAAGAGAGAGAGAGAGAGAGGGAGAGAGGAAGTTGCCAATTTCCAACTTTATTCCCCGATAAATCTGGGAACAAGCGCCCCTCCCAGGACGAAGGAAGCAATTTATCGCGTACGATCGTTCGTTGTTTAACGTTTCTCATGCTCGCCGTCGATGGTTCGATACGTCGGTGAAGGAAATCGTGAAAACGTTTCGTTCGTTGTAATTGGATTGCCCACGCGTGATTCCAAATTTAGAGGAGAGAAAATATCGGCTTGAAAGGGAGGAAGGCGGGGGAGGAGTGGATTTTTCGTTTCGAGAAAAGGGAAAACTTTGAGAATTCATTTCCGTAAGAATATTCTTGGAATAATAATTTAAACGGCATCTCAAGGCCGCTGTTCGAAAGGTAGACGTAAGAAGCATCTTTGACGAGGTAAGACAAATTGCAACGGGCAGCTGCCGGTTGTCGAGTGCATGGAGACACGTGCCTCCAAGAACGAAAATATGAAAAATATGAATTTCAGTTTCTCAATTTCTGCGATTCTAAAGTTTTGTATCGCAATTGCGCAAATTAAATTCGAGAATCGTAAATGACCGTACAAGTTAGCAAGTAAATATTATATTATGAACACAATCGAGTTGGAGAAAATTTCAAAATTGCACAATCGGTCGATTCATTCGTTCGTTCGTTTTCCACGATTAACGTCGAAGGGCGAACAAGCGTAATTTCGTGTAATTTCGCGTATTTTCCTGAAAGATCGTAGATTGCTGTCTAACCTTCGAACACGCGCATCACGTGCACGCGAATCCCACCTTAATATTTCTTTTTTTTTTTTTTCTTTTCCTTCCCAGAACAATGGCGGAGAGACTATTGCTTTGTGAGTTTCCTGGTTTCAATTAAGCTTTCGCTTTCCAAGTAACTCTCGTGTTAATTACACTCGTGATATCGCTCCTACTGCTTTGAGATGAAACCTCGTTTCCTTGTTGTTTCGTTTGAAAAAATTCCTTTCGATCGAACGAATCGAAAAAAACTATAAGATTTCGTTCGACGTGTCAACATTAACCGATCGAATATTTTCAATTTTTCCAACGAAACCAGTTGGCAAATGTACACCACTTCGCATAGATAGACAGACAGATAGATTTTTCTGTTACTTCTAAAAACTACAAGTAGCTTTTGGCGGCGTGAAAACCAGAAAAACCAGGCGGAGATCTGGTCGAAATATTTTTCGATCCTCTTTCCTCCTATTTCTTTGCGTTATCCCTATAAATAGAATTTTTTACGAGTCGAAATTCCTCTTTTCTGCAGAAAAAAAAAGAAAAAAAAAAAAAAGAATGTTTGCCTCGTCTGTCCACCGATATCCATCCTCCTCCATCTCTTCCTTCTCTCGGAGACACAAGCCTAAAACGAGCCGTGACCCCCCTCGATCGAAGCAGTTTCACCAAAAGGGAAAACAAATTTAAAATGCGATCTCGAACGATTCCTACCGTCATTTACTTTCGCTGAAACCTGTTGTTCCATCGTTTTCTTTTTCTCCTTCGATTTCCTTTTTTCCTCTTTTTCTCTCTCTCTCTCTCTCTCTCTGTCGCGTTCTCACTCACCATACGAAAACAGATAAATACTTTCGGCCGTTTTATTATTTATAGCTGGTGATATATGAAATAAGTAAACGAATCTCGAAATTTATTTTAACTATGGAGTGTTGCGCGTTTATGTTCTCGATGTCACGGTTGTTACTTTTATTCTTTGCCGGTGGTCGTTGAGGGATAATAATTTCAGGATTTTATACGTATGTGTGTATAAGTACGTATATCTTTGTGATTCACGCTTACGATCTGACGTCAAAAAATAAATAAACAAATAAAAGCAAGTTTATGATTATCATTTTTTTTCTTCTTTCTTTCTCGAGGAAATAATTTTTATTTTACTTTAAAAAGTCGTTGAAACCGACTTCGAGTCAAACGTAAGGAGGAATTTTATCTCGATAAAATTTGTGGTAATAATCGAAGGAGATTGAACTTTTTTGGAGGGAAGAGGATCTAAGTTAAGAGAAAATAGAATTGTAATTATATTTTTCACTTTCGATCCTTTTTTTTTTTTCTTTTTTTTCTTTTTTTTTTGGCAACGAGATCGAAAGTTTCCGGAAGCCTTTATACAGACACGCGCGCGCACAAGATTGAAAGTGTTAACTTATCGAGGCGCGGTAACGTAACGTAACTCATTGAAAATTCCGTTTATTAAGTCAGGATATCCTGTTGAAAACGAAAGCATCACGTACACATTCACCTTTTCGAATAACAATAATAAACAACTGTAATTATTCGCGATAAACTCGCGTGACGAATATTAATTCGACGACAAGAGGGCATGTAACAAATTTAAAGCGAGTTAACAATTTGCGAGACAATCGCGAACTTAAAAAAGGAACAATGGACTCGCCTCGAACGTATTTCTATAAATAGAGTTGAAAAATCTTTTTCAATTTCAATATTCTGCTTCTTAGGATTAAAATCCTAAGCGAGCGAGTCGCAATGTCGTAAAAATATCTCGACGTAACGACGTTTTTAAAAAAAACACTCATACCTATTTTTGCTTTATATAAAAATGTTTATGTAAAAAAGGAAAAGAAAAAAAAATAATTACCTCGCTACTTTTTTTTCGAACCGAGAAGAAAACCGGTATACGCTGTACCAGTCGTGTATTGCTCAATCTACATATATGTTAATATCTAAGCAAACCTTGTTTTCTTATGTATTCCGATGCCCAGTCGGAATACTGGTACAACGTTCGTGAACGTTTGATATTGCGGTAACATTATGCTAATTACCAACACGTTGACACTCGTGATGTAATAATGCATCTAATATTACTGCTCGTATTTAAAATGTTGCTGCCTTAAACGATGCTTCGAGCATCGAAGTCGATGAATCAAACGTTAGATTATTTAATAACTCGACGAATGAATGAGAAATCGAATGTTTGTAAAAAAAATATTCGAGTCGTTAAACATCGATCGATAAAAATTATGTGTAGCATATATATATATATATATATAATGCAAAAAAAAAAAAAATCAACAAATTACGAACCCATCGTACCGTATACCACGTCAACACAATGGATGGAATCGTGGAATTCCATAGAGAACGCAAGTCGCATTATGCTTCGACCATGGTTGCAGAAACGCATCAATCACTTTTACCGCGACCGCGGAAGAGAAAACAATAATCACCGCGAGGGAATTTATCACGAGCGAAAATGGATTGCAATCACGATCGAGCAATCGATACAGCATTTATTTTCTTCTCGTTTCAAAGCGTCCAAAAATCGTTTCTAGAAAAAAAAAAGAAAAATCGATGCGAAAACGCGTTACGAATAAATCCGTGTATAACGATCGTGTTCTCAATCTTAAATCTTAAATCATGAAAACCTCGATTCGAATAATGTCGGAATAATAAGTTTGACACTCGTGCTTGTTTTCAGAATTACGATACGCTGAGCAAGGGGAAGAAATCGTGGAGCGTGAGGCTCGGGTTGTCGCGGCAGAGCCAGGCAACCGCGGATGACCCCCAGGGCAAGGGGTGGGGGACGATAAGCGGCGGGAGCGGGATTTCGCGTCAAATGATCTACGGGGATCGATGGCTGTACGGTACGGTTCGGTCTTCGAGGCCTGGTCACGAGCCACGAGGCTTCATGACACCCCCGCCCCCGCCACCCCCGGGAGCACCAGTATTGGTAGTATGTTCCTGTCCGGAATTTCTCGCCGGAACGACGCGGAAGCTCGGCAATTGCCGCAAGTGCGGTGGTCACCGATTGGCTGGTGTACCTTTAGGAGGAACATGTCGGCTACCGCCGATCTCCTCGAGGTCGAGGCCCAGCCTCGCGGGTAAGTTTTCTCGCTTTTCGATCCGAGATATATGATACGATCGAGAGAATTCAACGCGGAAAATTTTTTAATCCTTTTCTTTCGCTCTCTTCTCGCCTTCGTCGTGCCTCCGAAGAAGGAAATGTGAGTAAGGGGAAAAAAGACGCACGCAATTAACACCGTTTCGTATCGTTTAGATCGTTTAGCGTCCCGGGGTGTTAGAGCGCGTTGCTTTAACAAGTCAGTTGCCACGAAATTTCTTTCAAGCGTGACTCGAGCGAACACTCGGGGACGAAACGTTGCCTTGCCATGCAGTTCCACCGTATAGCATTCCAAACTAGTATTCCCCTTCCTTTTTAAATCTTGCCTTATTTTATCGTTCTCTCTCTCTCTCTCTCTCTTTCTCTCTCTCCGTCGAACGATCGAGGGAAAAATTGGGAAAATATGTATCGACAGGAGTGCTGAGGTCGTCGATGGACGATCCGTACGACCAGATGCGGCGGAATCGTCTGGTGGAGCCGAGGGCGAGGGCGAGGAGCATCTCCCCCCACCGGCCGTTGTCGCAGCGCGACCCGAGGAGCCAGAGCGTGGCGCGAAACGAGCGGAAAGAGCGAAAGGGCTCGATCGAAGGCACATCCTCGAGATCCGAATGGTTCGACAAAGAGGGAAGCGGGAGCTACGGGGAGGAGGCGACGGGGTGCCGCAAGCAACGGGGGGCCGGTTCGTCGTGCACGGGGGACGAGTGGCTCGAGGAGGAGCCGCTCCAATCGTCGGCGGGTGCAAGGCTGGCCCGAGCCCCGAGAAAGGCGAAGGGGGCGAGGAACGATTGGGGATCGGAGGTTGGGAAGAATCGGGAGGAGGATTGGCCGGGGGGCGGCTGCGACTCGAGGAGGAGCATCCTCGAGTGCGACGTGAACCCGTATCTCCTGTTGAAGAGGCAGAGGGACGAGGACGACCTGAGCGACGACCTGTCGGACAACGCCCTCGAGCAAGAGGACGGGACGAGGTCCCTCTCCACCCTGTTCGATCCCTCGAAGGTGAAATCGATCGAGAGGATACCGAGCAGGAGCTCGGTCGCGGCGATCGGGGGGCAGAGGATAAGGGTGTTCAACGAGCGGCGGGAGATCTCGGACGACGACGACGACGACGACGAGGGGGAGGAGGCGTCGCCGATGACCAGGATCCCGATGCCAAAGGTTTCGCCGAAGCGGCCGCCGAGACGGCTCAAGGAGGCCAAACAAACGCTCAAGAGTATTCTGAAGCGGGGAAAGGTGCTCGAGACTAGGAGGAAGAACGTCCTGTTCAACGTGGACAACGTGATATTCGCGCCTGAAAAACCAGCCGAGGTGGCCCGATTGTCGTGGAGCAGAATAGGAAGAATGGCGAGCTGCGCCTCCCCGAGGGAGCAGCGGCGTAGGGATCACGAAGACGACGACGAAGACGACGACGAGGAGGAAGACGACGACGACGACGACGACGACGACGACGAGGAGGATGAAGAGAAGGGGAAGGGGAGGGTGGAGGAGCGAGTAGCCGGGTCGCACGAGCAGAGAGAGAAGTATAATTTCATTACCATCCCGAATATCAAGGATCCAAAGAGAGTGGAGAAGAAAGTTGGAGCGAAGGAGAGCGAAGCTAGAATCTCGCAGAACGCGTGTCAAACGTCCCCTGTCGATGGGGGGGTTAAGGTGGATAAATTTGGGAATGCGAAGAAGAAAGAGAAGGCGGAGATGCGCAGCACCACCGTGCAGGGTGTCGTCGTACAGCAAAACTTTATCGCCGATCGCCGTGCGGTTCACCCGTCGAAACGCGAGGGGAACGAGGAAAACGAAGGGAGGAAGAGGATAGAGAAGGTGGAGGAGATCAGGGTGGGGGAGAAGGATGGTGAAAGAAGGATCGAGGAGATCGAGGAACGGAAGGATCGTATACCGGGCATCGCCGTGGACGAGAAGGATTTGATATTGAAATCCGAGGGTGAGTTTGTTCCGGCGATATATTATAAGAATTACTCGTTTCGAACCGATTTTATCGGTCTTCCTTCCGCGCGATATCTCGTTTAGATTTATTCCACGGACAATACTCGTCTCGTGAGAATTCATGTTTTGCAAAACTTTTAGCTCATTGTTGCACAAAGTTCGTTAGTCATCGCGTACTTCTCTCGAGTTTTCTCATTTGCTTCTTTTTTGTCTTCCTTTCAATTCAATTCATATGACCGTTCAAATTTGCTTATTAAAAAAAACAACGATTCAATTTCCTTCGAAAACATTCTCGAACTAACTTGTGATACTTGGGTATTACGTATTCTAAATTTCGTTGAAATAATTTGAAACGTTCTATTAACAATAATTTCTCGACAAATGTTCTTGGTTTTAAAACTATAAATCTTTAAACTCGAAACAATTCTCCTTTCTCTACGTATCGCGAGCGTGTAATTATGCTTTTTAGAAATCCCGCGCGTTTTTCTCTTCTTTCCGTGATCCTGCTTAATATTTTAATAATCGGTGATATTTTAGAATATTGTCGCGTTAAACTTTGCAGAAAACACGAAGAAATCATCTTTATCGCGCAGCCAAAGCGAACGATCGTTCAACAGGCCGGAGGTGTCGGCCGGCGACGTGCTTTTCATGGACACTATGCGGCTCAGCCTGTGTAGAAAAGTCAAAGAAGCGTCGCCTCCCCCGTTAGATTCGAGCGAGCAAACGAGCCGGCGAAGAGATTCGTCGATCGAATCGACGAAGGAAAAGGCGACGACGCGAGGCTTCGACGAGGACTCCTCGGGGAAAGAGATCGATTCGTTCGAGATAGAATCCCGACCCGACGGGGCGACGAACGCGAGACAAGTGGAACAAGTTCCTAGAGAGAGAACAAGAAAACCGGAGGCATCGATGGAAATTCGAAGCAGCTCGGAAGGCGGCGAGCCTCATTTCCGAGGGATGAGGCCGACCAGTTGGTCCCCTCCGCCCGGTAAACCCGGCAAGCATCGTTACAAAATCAACAACTCCGAGTCGACGAGGTCGAGAATCGTGGATGAACCACCGTTGAAAACGAGTTGGAGCACGTCGAATCCTTACGGATCGTCGAAAGTGGAGATCGGTGGTGGATCGGCGAGCACGGAGAGCAACGTGTACAAGATCACGGTCAGCCCCCGGACATCTCCTCTCGTTCACCGATTGCAAATAGGTCCAACGGCGGCCAACGGGTCGAGGAGAACGTCGATTTTGATCAACGGTGACGCAGCAACACCCACGGCTGAAACGTCGGGGGACAATAAAGTGACGATCAGCGTCGGCGGCGAGGACAGCGTTTACAATCCAACGGTGATCTCGGTCAACTCGGAAAATCCACCGCGGATAAAGAGTTCAGGCGAGAAGAATCGGACCCTCGTCATCCTCGACAACTACAAATCCAATATCGTGGTGGCGTCCTCTAAAGAGGGTAAGGGTAAGGAGGATACGAGGCCGTTGTTGAAAACGATCGAAACGATCGAATCTGTCGAAGAGATCGAGCAACGATCGAGAAACATCGAGAAATCCGAGAGCAACGCTACGACGATCTCCAATACGAGTCCGGAAACGACAGTTGACTGCGAGAAGCGAACGAAATCGATCGTGGAAGGTGGTGGTGGAGGGTCTTCTCTCGTGGAGAGGAACGCCAAGTTTCACGCGGCGAACGAGAGAACGGGGGAAAATTCGTCGAAATTTGCCTCGTTGTCGAAGGAGGCGTTGATCTCGAAGCTGCTCGAGGATTCTCTGAGGAAGGCGCGCGAGAACGGGGAGATCCTGGACGAGGACAGCGGCGAGGCCATTTTGAAGATACTGAAGCAGAGTTTGTTGAAGAGCAAGGAGTACGAGGGTTCCGAGTCGACTCTCGAGGCGAATTACTCGAGAGCGTCCAGCTTGAATTCGGAGGCCGACTTCATCTCGACCAATCTTTTCCTCGAGGAGAATCCTTACGAGGTAATCAAGGAGCCGATTTACGAGGAGATACCGGATGAACCTCCCCCTCTTCCACTCAGCCCTCCACCCACGGAAGATTATATAAAAGACAGGATATATTTCGGTGACATCGATTACTACAGGAAGAGTAGCTCCGATCAGTTCCTCGGATCCTACTTGGCCGACAATGTTTACAAAAAATCCAACCCCGAGGATCTTGGGGAGACATATTTGTCGAAGAGCCCCGAGGATTTCTTCAAGAAAATGTCCACGTCTCCCGAGGAGGGGAACATCTCGAGTAAGTTCGAGCTGCTTAACTTCCTCATGGACACCAAGGATCGAGCGATATCCATCGAAGAGGAGGAGGACGAGGACGACGAGGACGAAGAGGATACGGAGGGAGATTTGGAGGCGCTCTATGAACAAAAGGAAACCAGCCTGGGCGACCTTAGCTCGAAAAGTTCGCAGATATCCAACGTTTCCGACAGCAGCGAGGAATGCAACATTATATTGACCAGCTCGTCAGAGACGTCAAAAGTGAGTTTCTACATATATATATATATACGTACAAAAGATTAAATATAAAAAGAATATAATAGCTTTTTTAATTAAATTCTCGTGATTTAACATCGTATTAAAATCGCTCAATAATCGCTCGTAACGATGAATGGAAAATTTATAGGCAATGTAAACGATCCTCCCTATTGAAATTTATTTATTATTAATATATATATATAAGATATATAAGATAATTCGTATTTTACGATAACGTTATAGTTTATATTTACTCGATTAAAAATTTGTGGATAACGATAAACGAGACAAGGATTGAAAAAAATGACGATACGTAATAGCGATATTTTTTAAAAGGTAAGAGCTGTAGATATAGAAAGAACTGATAGCGGAGTGGGATCTGAAAGCAGTCAAGCCAGCAGCACACGGGGCGTGCCGAGACGTTGGAGAGCAGGAAATGTCTCTTCGGGACCAGGAAGTCTCCTCAGTGGAATCCCACAAGTGATTTCCGGTGATTCAAAGCATTGCGAGGATTGCGAACAACGTTTGGATCCTCTAATAACGGATAGGTAAGTATTAATAATATAATTATATTTGCAAATGACAATAATATTAATATGTATATATTTATACATTTTGTAATAAAAAAATAAAAATTTAATATTAATATATATATATATAAAATATAAAAAATTATATATTTCGCATTGTTATTAAAAATATTTATTAAAAATTATTAAAAATGTATATTTCCTATAATTAAAATAATATATTCTAATATTAATATTATCTATTCAAATAAAAACTACGTAACAAATATTCAGAATCATTAAATTGTGTTTTCTCTTACCGCTTCTATTTACCGCAACGAGCGAAAGTTTTGTTACCGAATATGTGTTTCAACCTCGAACAGATGCCAAGTCGATTGTATTTTTTTTTTTCTTTTAAATTCATAGTGCATCTTTGTAGATATAACAAAAAATTATTTTAACTTACGATACGATAATTAATTACAAAAATATTTAAAACAAACGTTTAAGAAAAGAAAGTAATAAATTAATCGTTATATATGCAAGAAAAAATGTTTAAATTATATTCTTTGAATGTAAAAAGATTACGATTCTTGATAAAATTATAAGCATATAAAGATGATTAATGATTATTAATTAGCATTAAAATTAGCATTAAAGATTTTTAAAAAAATTTTTAACGATTGTTATATTTATATTATTTAGCGGTGTAGTATATGCGCCTTTCGTGTGCAGAAAATGCTCTAAAAAAAGGATAGAGCGAAAAGAAATCATTACGGAAATCGTCGAAACTGAACAAAAATATGGAAGAGATCTACAAATTATTCTTGAAGAATTTCACAGACCCATGTTAAGGGCTGGTCTACTCACGTCTGAACAGCTTACAGCGATTTTTCTCAATGTGGAAGAACTTCTTGAACACAATCTTGTACTCGCGGAGAAATTAAAATTCGCTGTGGAATTTGCTCAGGTAATTAAAAAAATACATTTGTACCATATTTTATTATTATTATTATTATTATTATACGTTATAAATAAACTTATGTTCTGATTGATTTTAATGAAATAAAAATAAAATTGTTTAAAAATAAAGTAAAAAATTTATAAATGATTCATAGGAATCTGGAGACGAAGATCTTTTAACGGTAGATGTAGGCAAGATTTTTCTAGAGTCTGAACGGATGTTACATGCATTTGAAAGCTATTGTACTCGTCAAGGAAGCGCAAGTTTGTTGTTACAGAATCTGGAAAAGGAGAAAGAGCTGCTACGAATTTTTCTAAAAGTTTCACAAATGGAAAACACTGTTCTACGTAGAATGAATTTGAATTCTTTCCTAATGGTAAAAATAAAGTAAAATTAAAATATTATTTTTTAAATATTAAATATGTTTTTTCATTGAAAATTTATGGTAAACTTTCTATATAAAATTATATACGAAAAATAATTCATAGGTTCCTGTACAAAGAGTGACAAAATATCCTCTTCTCTTGGCACGACTACTAAAAGCTACGCCTTCCGTACGACCAGATATACAAGAAGCAAAGGAGAGATTAAAACAGGCTCAAGCTAATATAGAATTACATTTAGAACATATGAATGCTGTAAGTATAATATTATTTATTTATATTATAAACTAATATATATTACTATAAGTAAAGTTTATTTTTGTATATAAATGTAAATTATATATGTAATGAAATCATTTAATAATGTAACAATAGGAAGCAAAAGATGTGACTTCGACGAAACTTTGGAGAAGAATTTCAATTATCCAAAATGGTAGACGACCGATCGGTGAACAAGATATGGTGAATATAAAATTGAGAAAGGTAATATTTATTTTAAAATATTTTTATAATATATTAATTATTTACATAAGTAACTTTAATTATATATGTGTATGTAATATGACATAATTGAACAATATAACAATTAAATAATAGATGGCCGTGGAAGTATTAGAATGGGCTCATGAAGAAGCAAAATTTGTATTAGAAGGACGTCTTTTAGTTGCTCAACCAACAGATAATAATTGGAGACGCGGACGTACTGTCAAACTTGCTCCTGTAACTGCTATGTTGGTTACCAATGGCAAGGTGAATAATTTTTATATGATTATATATAGATTGTATGTTCTTCATATAATTTATGCTTATTATAATAATCTTTTTATAGCCAAATGCAGAGGATCTTGAATTTAATGATGATTCTCTCTTTCCAAGACACATTGGTATTAAAGAAGCTACTTTATTGTTAGTTAAAGAAAAATTCGGACGTTATTCTTTGTTGCGAGTAAGTTATTTAAACGCCTTTGAATCAAACACCTGCACAATTTTATTCCATATTAAAATAAAAAATTTTATCTATTTTAGGAACCATTGTATTTAGATAAATGTATAGTATGTTGTGAAACAGATCTTGAAGATTATTTCGAAATTCAAGAATTATCGTCAAAAGAAACTTTTATTTTTAAGGTAAGATGATTTTTTTAAAAACAATATTTTACATTTTGAAAATTATTTATTTATTCATTATAGTATTTTTAAAATTAAATCTTTTTGAAAAGTTATTTTTTATCGCAATATTTATCATATTATTCATTATATATTACAATATTAAACATATATTTTTAACTGTTAACAATATTTCATTTATAAAAAAAATATTATCTTACAGGCCGAAGATGGCGCCAGAACAAAGAGATGGTGTAGAACACTACAGACACACGCACAATCTCTCGGTGCATGGCGCAAACGACGTGGAGCGCTGCCAAATATCATGATATGCGGTGTTGCAAGAAATTAATAATTATATATAAAAAAAATTTTATTAATTAATTAATTAATTGTTATTTTAAATATAATTATTATTTAAAAATGTGATTCCTACATACGCACAAATAAATTTGTGCAATTGATTAAACTGGCGCATGATCTCTAAATGAATTAATAATGATTTATCAAAAAGAACATTATGTGTTGGACCAAAGGATTTTTTTCTGTTCATTGATAATATGTATCAATGAGTATGTATCAATGTATCAATGAGTAATACGAAAATCTTGCGCAATCTATTTTGCGTTCGGTTACAGTACGTTGCAGAACTTAAGTTTCCTACGTCGCTGTAGTAGTTAACATGTTGTTTAACATATATCATAAAATATTCTCTTTTTCTTTTTTCTTGATTATCACTTTTTTGAATACCATATACATATACTATACATGTATATTGGATGAATAATTGCTACATAAAAAATTATTAATTAATAATTTCATTACAATTGAAAGAACAGAAAGTAGCTGTGATACTGACCGGTGTTATTGGGTATTTTTTGTCTGATTATATTAAATACTGCGATACGAATTCGAGTTTTTATTTCTATATACTTCATTAATGGCAATTAATTTCCACAAGATCAAATCGACAATAATGTACATAATATTGAAAATGAGGTAATAGGGTTGTTATACTTTGTATTTATAATTTACGAAAACCAAGAAACTGCCAAATGTTTCATAATGACAGGCTTGATTTATAAATTAATTAATCTTTATTATATTTTATAATTATTTCTTAAATAATAATTAACAGTATTTTATGACGTCTAACACACAAAATAAAAATTGTATATTGTATTATAATTTTATTTAAGATCTAAGCCATATATTTTGTATATAGATGTATATTTATACTGAGATTGGTTTTAAACACATAATTGTTATTTTAAATCATTCAATAAAATTTAAATATACTTATTTACATGCTGTACATTGCAGCATGATCTATAATTTTTTTTTATATTTACCATAATAATTACTCGCATATTTTAAAATATATTTAATACTTAGGTAAGTTATTATTCGATTGAATTATAATATATATATTTAAAGATTTATATAATTCCAAAGATCAAGATCATGTTATCCTTTAATTTATATTCCATATCTTAATTTATTTTCTTATTAAATGCAATTAATAAGTAAGATATCTCTAAAGAAGATAATAAGAAGATAGTGCTAATAATCAATCTTTAATTTATATTTGTTTTTTCTACTTTTCAATCTTTTTATTTTTTTTGTACTATAAAATTTATTTTTCTATTTAAGAGACCGATACACGCTTCTGTTTATTAACTATATTAATATATTAGTTAAAAAAAACTGTTAAAAAATCTATGAATTTTTGTCATACATACATTTATAAAAGAATATATTAAAGAAATTATTTTTAAAATATTTTAACTTTATCAACTTTTGTAATTGAATATAATACTCACTGAGATAATTTATATATATAATTTTATATATATATATATAATATATAATTATTATATTAATTTATAATATATATATAATTTTTTATTATTCTTATATTTTTATTCTTTATTCTTATATTCTTCTGTAATGAAATTATTAATTTTTATTTTTAAAAAAATTTAAGTAATTTCATCTGGATTTTTTTTTCGCTATTATTTCGCCAAATAATTTTAGACAATTGATTATTTTACAGATTTTTATTTTTTTATTAATTTACTATATTATTTATGTTCGTCAGAATGAATATCAAAGTCTGCCTTTTTGAAAACAATGATAATGGAATTCCATAATTCCAATTTTGAGCTACAGAAATATATTATATGATTTGTTATTTTTACATAAAATCCGTAGCAAAAATAACAGACAGTAGGAAACAGAATGTAAAAATTGATCTTCAGCGCCATCTATTGATTACTAAAAATATTTTTCTAAAAATCATTTTTTTAGAAATATTTAAGAATTGGCGTTGATTCTCAATTCTCAATTTATTTTATTCTATTTTTAAAGAGATATTCAAAAGATAACACCAACGATTAATTTTTATTCTATCTATTTTCTCCTATTTGTCGTTATTGTTTATTGCAATATTCTGAAAATGATGCTAATTTTCATTTTTAATTTATCTCTGTTTTTATTCTATTCTATATTTGCTATACAAAATTGATATATTTAAAAAAATGAACATTTGATTAACTTTATTGTCTTTTAAAATGTGTATAAAATATTTATATAATATACAAAAAATATATAAAATATATAAAATATATTAAAACACAAAAATAATATATATATATGTAGATATATTTGTAATATGTAATTTGTAATTTACAATAAAAATATATAGGATATCTGATATAGGGTTATCCGTTTGCTAGAATTACACAAATTGAAATTTTATTTTATTTATTATATATTTAGATATGTATAAACTTATATATAATATATGTAAAAACTTCTAATTTAAATGTTACCATCTTTATTATGAAGTTAGTAATATATTTAAGGGGTTCTCATATAATACTTCACTTATTCTTAAAATTTAGAACCCCTGATATGTCATAAACAACGAAGATGGCTTACAGTCAACATTTTGTTAATTGTATATGTAGATATGATGTATGTTACTATTTACGAATTTTTTAATTCTGCTCAATAAAAAATTAAAACCTGGTTAAAATTATGGCTCAAGCGAAACTTAACTCGCAAGAAGAAACAAGTAGCACGCTAAATGATAAAGAGAAAGAAACTGATGAAAAAGAAGGTAGGCATTCTGAAACAATTATTCTTTATACTTATTATATATAATTTATTAATTTAATCAATTTTATATCATAATTTGTTTAAAATATATAATTTAATTTATAATAATATTGAATTTGTAATATAATTTGAAAATATTATATATAATATTCAGATAATATTATAATAATATTAATCATAACTAAATTTTATTAAAAATATTGATAGGCTCAACAACAATATTAGAATGTGCAGTTTGTCTTCAACCATGTATATATCCTGCAAGATTACCTTGCAATCATATATATTGTTACCTATGCGTCAAAGGTGTTGCTAATCAAAGTAAAAGATGTCCTATGTGCCGTCAAGAAATTCCTCCTGACTTTCTTAATAGACCACAACTGGTGGAAGTAGATGAAACACAAAAGGAATCAGAACATTTTGAAGAAGAATATCAATGGTTTTATGAAGGCAGAAATGGTAGAGTATTACACAAATCTATTTTAATTTTAAAATTATAAATTTGCTTTTTAAGTAAAATATAATATAGTATAAACATAAATATTACTACAGATAAACATATATTTTATAAATGCTATAAAAATACTTTAAAAATAGAATTCAAGAAAGCATATTATTAAAATAATAAAATAGAATTATAATTAAATTATTAAAATATTATGAATAAAATTAATTTTACTAATAAATTAAAAATAAAAAATAAATAACTTCATTATTTGTTAAAAACATGTGATGAAGTATAGAGAAGTTTATATCCTACCCCTTCATAGGTTGGTGGAAATATGATTCAAGGACCAGCCGGGATTTGGAGGATATTTACAACCTAGGTAGCACCCAATGTGAAATTTTAATTTGCGGCATGCTTTATATAGTTGATTTTAAAAATAATTGTCAATACAGAAAATATCAACCATATTATAAACGTAATATTAAGCGCGATAAAAAGGACGCACCATGTAAAGGTGTTTCAGGAATAAAATAATTTGTAATCTTATCTTTTTTACCATTTTAAATATTGGCATAAAGTGTTTTTGATTGTATTTATAGTCATATAATTATTTATAAAACTATGTATAAAATATTATAAATTTTCACGTGAAATATGTATGACATAAAATTTAATAATTTTCATGTATGATATAAAAAGTATAAGAATTTCCATTATTTTGTTATAAAAGATAAATATACAATTTAGTTTCAATATGTATATTTATAATAAAATTTCTGTATTCCAGAATATGTTATTTTTCTTTATGAATACCCTAGCTGAACTTAATAACTAATTCATTTAAATAAATTTTTATGAATATCATAATTTGTGAAATTTTTTAAATTACATTGTTGCAGGTTGGTGGCAATATGATCAACGTACAAGTCATGAATTAGAAACTGCATATAAACAAGGCAAACGGAATTGTGAATTATTAATCGCAGGATTTCTTTATATTGCTGATTTTGGTTCAATGCTTCAGTTACGTAGAAATGATCCTTCTAGACGAAGAAAGATTAAGCGTGATTTATATAATGTACCAAAAAAAGGAGTTGCAGGTTTAAGATTAAATAATCAAGATGAAGAAATTACTAGAGAAGTAAGAGGAGCAGAAAGACCAGCTAGTCCTGCAAGTGATGATATGGGTATAATGATTAGTAAAATCAGTTGAAGTTTTAATTCTATTTATAATAACTTTACTATATTTATTAGTAATTATATATATATAGATATTATTATTTTATATTTAAAGGCACCGGAGATGGTACAAATACTCCAGTACCTCCAAGTAATACACCACAAACACCAGCTGGTGGAACAGCAAGTGGTGATGCTACACCCCTAAATGACAGAATGGAACAAAGAGACTCTTTACATCAGGTATTAGAACAAATGCGTTCCTTAGTTCTGAGAGAACATTTATCTTCAGATACAGATGATGAATTAGAGGAAGATGAAGAAAGTGAATCACCTTCCACTCATCCTACATTATAATGACTACAAACATCTAATAATTCCTATTCATCAGATGAAGATCATTTTCAAAAAATTTAATTTATTGAAATAAATGTGGCATTCTATTAAGTAAAAAATATAGTTTAATAATAAATTTGTGTACATGTTCAAAGATACAAAACATTTATATGTACTGTAATGTACTGACATGCAATCTGTACATTGCTCTGTGATGCTTATTAAAAACAAAACAATTAAGTACAATTAAGTCTTTCACAACTAAATGATTATTATTATTTCAGTAAATAATTAATTTGAAATATTCTTTTACATATAATAATTTTTCAATGATTGCTTTATAAATATGTATATTTGTAATTTTACACTTTTTATCATCTCCTTAAGAAATGTTCTCCAGAAAAAAAAAATATCATTCCATATTCCTGTACTTTAATATTGATTTACTTAATTGATATTTATGTAATTTTTATAATTATTGTAGATTATAAAAGTCGTAATTTTAAGTCATTGACATTTAAAAATTTCTTAAATCTTTTTATTTTTACAAAAATAGTAATAACATATTATCTTTGAGCACATAAAATGTAACATATTCAAAAATTTAGCGATATTTCCTTGCTAATATATATGGCATAACTAGCGCACTGCCATTTCCTCGCATTTGTTATCAGTATTTTTTATATTAGTATCTTGAATTTATGCATTATTACAATTTAAAAACAACATAATTTTCAGTCGACTTGTTAATAATATTGTTAAAAATAAATTTAATAATTGTTAAAAAGCTATTGTGTTTTTCGAGCTTCAGATAAAATGATTCTTTTAATTTTTAATGATAAAAAATTATTTTTTATGCATTAATTATTTTAATATTGAATA